ACTTTCTATAAGAAAAACATGTGTCCTAATGGATATGGCCACCTTCCCCGACAGCTTATTTTGTGTGTGCACTTGGCAGGGTCAAAAGATCCTGACATTCACTCGTCTGTGTTTCTGTGAAGGTTGGTTTTGAGGCCACACCCAGTGGAATGCAGGGGCTACTCCTGGCTCAGTGCTCAGGGGTCACTGTGCCAGGCTGGAAGCTGAGCCTCCGTGTCAAGGCACGTGTTCCCGCCGACTGAGCTCTCCAGTCCCGTGAAGGTGCTTTATAGGCGAGATGAGCATTACAGGATTTTGTGTCAAGCAGAGGACCCTCAGGAGGGTGGCCCTCAGCCTGCATAAAGACGGTTAGGGGAACAGAATGAGGAGTTGGGGGGGGGGGGAGGGTAACTGGGGACACAGGTGCCGGGAAATTACATTGATGGAGGGACGGGTGTTGGAACATTGTATGACTGAAACCCAATCATGAACAGCTTTGCAATGCTCTATCTCACAGTGACTCAATTAAAAAAAAAAAAAAGAACAGTAAGAAAAAAAGGCTGACCTCGGAGTGGAAAAATCTCCTTCATACTTGAACTACAAGCCTTCCCTTGGACTCCTACACATCCTGCTCTTCTCTGAACTGCATCTCTGCTGTGCAGAGCCAGTTCCTTCTGTCTCTCCTCCGTTTATAGGGTACGGACGCGTCGCACTGGGCCGACCTCTCTGAAGCAATCCTCCCACCGGGGTGGGTTTCACCCCGGAAGCACCAAAATTCCTTACACTCTCACCTCCCAGGCCCACAGAATGTTCCTGAAACCTTCCAGTCAGCTCAGATGTTGGAACTTGTTTCTGGCTGTAGGACGGGGCTATAGGATGGGCTGGAGCGATAGCACATTGGTAGGGTGTTTGCCTTGCGCACAGCCAGCCGAGCCGAGCCGGATTCGATTCCTCCGCCCCTCTGGAGAGCCCGTCAAGCTACCGAGAATATCTCGCCTGCATGGCCAAGCCTGGCAAGCTACCTGTGATGTATTCGATGTGCCAAACACAGTAACAATTGTCACAATGGAGATGTTACTGGGCCCGCTCGAGCAAATCAAAGAACAACAGGAGGACAGTGTTTGCTTTTTGTTTGTAGGATGGGGTGCAAGTGATCGGGGTGTCACTTCTGAGCAGAAAGCATTTTGGAGCCAGGACGTCCTTCCTTCTGCCCACACTGTGACCCTAGGTCTCGTGCCCTGCCTGTCTGGGCCCCCAGCTGACAAGGAGCAGGTGTCCCTCCTGTGTCCCGGACACACAGAGCAGTGAGACCTGGGGTTGTCTGACAGACATGCCACTCAGAGGTGGGCTGTCTCATCCCCCAGCCCTCTCTGCTCAACTCTGCGTCACACACACCAGGCACACGCTCACCACTTGTGCCTTCACTGCTGCAGGTTCGGTGTGACTTGTGTCGAGATCAACAGTTGACGAGTGATCTGGAATGCTGTGTGGCCCGAGATGGGAGTAGAACAGTTTTCTCTCAAAATTGTTTTATGTCAACTTTTCACAGACTGGCCTCGCCTTCCATCCAAATTATTGGTACGCCGTCCTTGCCAAACCCGCCAGGATCTGTTCCATTCCCAGACTTGGCGTAAACCGAGTCCAGATGGGTTTGAACAATTTTGTAAACAAAACCTCTCTCAAAAGTCTATACTGACGGTGCCCGTGCTCCCATTGCCATGAAGTTCTGAGACTTGATTCACCTTTCTCTCTGCTCTTGCTTTCGGAGTACTAAGAAAATCCTTCAACAAGGCAGACAAACCTAACCAAAAATTTGGCTTCAGATAGATTGGAAACTGCCCCCATGCAAACACCAACCAACAGAACAGAAAGAGAGAAGACTGATGAACTCCACTGGGCCTGGAAGAAATAGGATGGAGGTCATCTGACTTCAAAATTAACTAGTCCTGGGGTTGGAGAAAGAGTACAGTGAGCGGGGTGCTTGCCTGGCCTGTGGCTCACCCTGGTTCTATCCCCAGCACCTGAGCCCTGCCAGGAGTGAGTCCAGAGCATCACCAGGTGTGTCTGTGCCCCACATTCCCTAAAACCATCTAGCCCTGGGATTCTCTGAAGTTTTAAGATATGAAAACCATCTTCAACTGTTGGGATTTAAGAAAAAAAAATTTTTCAAAATTTTCTGCCACCCCCCACCCCCATCCACCTCCCCCCACAAAAACAAAACCCAAACTTGGATAGCATAGGTGTCTCACCCACCTCCAAAGCTACAAACTCAGCAGAGAGCAGGAAACTGTCCTACTTCCTTTACTTCCTTCCCGAGAGACCTCGGTGCCCACCTGGCTAACACTCGGAGAATGTTCAGTTGTTTCTGCAACCACGTCTGGCTCCCAAGCCCGTCGTCCCTGGACAGGGAAAGGCGTCCATGCAGATCAGGTAGCAGCCAGGCCCCTCCTCATCTGTCCACCTCTAGCCCCTACCTCCACTGGGCTCTCTGGGGCCAAGCTGGCCTCTCCCCAGCGGACACTCCCGGTCACACGACCTGTTCCAGGCACGAATGGGCCACAGCTAACGGGACGGAAGCAGCTGTGGGACCCTCAGAGGGGTCAGGACGCGAGTCCCAGGCGCGGTCCACAATGATCGAGGCCACCTCAGCCAAGTCAGGGCGGCCAGGCCGCTGGAGCGAGGGTCACAGGGAGACAAAAGCTGTAGCTTGTCTTCCTTTCACTAACCATTTCTTCTTTGTGGAGAGAAGAATGATGACAAACGCAGCTTGGCTGCTGAGAAGAGGCTTGGCCACACAATGGCCTGGGACTCGCCTCTGAATAGCAGAGCTGCTCGGAGGGCAGAGGTCAGTGTCAGCCCACAGGAAGGGACAGAAGCAGCCCCGGCCTGGAAGGCAGCAGCAGGGAGGTCACTTGGGAGACATCCCCCCAACCCCCCACGTTGGATTCTAATCGAGCAGGAAATCACACAGGCCAAGCCCTTGGGCTTCCCTTCCACCCGGGGCTGGACGCCACACTGCTGAGGCCGGGAGCATGTGCCCAAGTTTAAGTGTGGAGGGGCTGAGGAGCAAAGTCAAGGTGTCACCATGCGTGCTGGAAGTAGACTACAGACCGGAGATAGTGGCCACTCAGTATCTTTATTGCACAGCACCCTAAAGGAAAGAGATAGCTAAAGGGAATGCCCTGCCACAGGGGTGGGGTGGGATGGGAGGGATACTGGGATCAATGGTGGTGGAGAATGGGCACTGGTGGAGGGATGGGTACTCGATCATTGTATAACTGAAACCCAAGCATGAAAGTTTGTAAGTCAGCAACTGTACCCCATGGTGTTTCACTAATTAGCACCTGCACTACACTGTCCTCCCGTTGTTCATCGATTTGCTGGAGCAGGTACCAGTAACGTCTCACAACAAATTGTGAGACTTGATGTTACTGTGTTTGGCATATTGAATATGTCATGAGGAGCTTGCCAGGCTTTGCCGTGCAGGCGAGATACTCTCGGTAGCTTGCCGGGCTTTCCAAGAGGGGCGGAGGAATCAAATTCGGGTCAGCCATGTCGGCTGTGTACAAGGCAAACACCCGACCTGCTGTGCTATCACTCTAGCCCCTTCACTAAAAAAAAAAAAGAAAAAAAAAGAGAGTTCCCCACTCAGAGACAGCCAGGACACGGGGCCCAATGCCTGCCATCCACAGATCTGTTTGGTGGGGAAAACTCCACTCCACTTGCCCAAGGATGGGCTGATGTCTGGCTCAGACTGAAACAACTGTCCACAGTGCTGCCAGCCAGCCCCGACGACCTGTCTGCTCAGAGCCCAAGGTCCGGCGGACACTAACACAGACATGGATGGACGCACACAAATATTCAGACCAGGACAAAGGTCCGTGCAACTGGCTGTGACCGGCTGGCACCCGGGAGGGGCAGCTGAGGGAGTCGGCATCCGGGCACGCGCCCAGCCCCAGCTTGGTTCCAGGCACCCGGGGCCCAGCTTGGTTCCAGGCACCTCTCCACTGGACCGACTTCGCCCGAAAACAGCTGGCAGGGGCAAAGCAGAATGGGGCAGGAGGAAAGCAGGGGAAGGGGGAGGTTCCTGGGGGGACCGTGGGCCCAGCCTCGTCCAAACCTGGGGACACAGTGCGCACCTGGGCCCAGAAGCCTGCTTTTCAGCAGAGCACCTTAGTGGCAAATTGGTGACTTGTACTCTCAGGCTGGACCCTTCTCAAGAGCTTGTCAAGAAATGATAAATGACTGAGGTGCAGGGTAAAGTGCTTTCTTTGGGGGGCGGCCACCGTTCAACGCCAGGAAGGGTGTCCGCTCCCCTCTCTCTGGGTTACCCGTTACAGGACTGTCTCCGTGACCACAAACTTGAACATCGCCCCTCACAGCGTGCCCCCTCCGCCCTTCGGGACCGGCACCCGTGGCCTCTCGGGCCCCATCCTGCCCTGTATCCTCCCACCAGGGCAGTTTATTGCCCCACGTGCCCTGGAAGCGGTGGCCGGGAGGAAGGGCAGGCCTGCCAAAGCCCCCTCCTACAATCTTGGGTGCGCAGTCCCCTCAGCAGCCCGGAGGGGATCTCCCTCAGGGCCCGGGGAAAGCCCTCTGGGCGGGAGTCCAGCCACCCTGCCATGGAGGAGCGATTCTGCCCCGGCACAGGTCTGCCAGCACCTGGCTGAGCGCTGCCCCACAGCCGCAGGGACCCTCCCGCCCCTGCCCTGGCGTGTTTACAAACCAAGAGCGGCTGTGCGGGTGCCACCACGGCTGAACTGCTGACCCCCGGGAACCTGTTCAGTCTTTGAATGAAACCCAGTTGCATCCTGGGGCCAGGCAAGACCCTGCCAGTGCCTGAGTGATCAGCCACGTTGTCTCTGCCGGCCCGAGACAGGAAGCAAAGGACACGCGGGGAGCCAAAGTGAAAAAAGCTTCGAGTTTTTTTAATCCTTTCTGCATTCTGCACACTCTGCACGGACAGAGGTGAACGGCGATGACTGACACTCGGTAGGAAAGACTCCGTTACAGTCAAATCAGCACGTTTATACCTTTATCTTGTTCACATCGGAAGAAATCAACTAGTAGAAAAACTCAGACAAATCATATCACAAAAGCAAACCATTTCATAGAAAAAATCCATCCACGTAGGAAAAGCGGCCCCGGCGTCCTCACATCCTTCTCTTCTGTGTGCTGATGTACAACACTGCAGAGGGAAGACAGCAGGTGAAGGTGGCGGCAGGCAGCGCAACGAGGTGACCCAACTCTGGCCCGACCCTCCCGCACCCACGGTGGGTCTATAAAGCGGCAACGAGACGGGGACTCGGCTGCGTCAGACAGGAGCCTGGCGTCTCATGGGGCAGTGCTCTCTCAGCGAGCCGCCTGGCACGGCCTGCCAAGTCGTGGTCAGAAAGAGAAGATCAAACGTTAAAGACCCTGGCCTCTGAGAAGGGTTTGTGACCGTTCTCTCGTGATGGTGGGGACGTTTGCAGCAACAGCCCATCAGACCATCCAATAGACTAGACCTCAGCTTTAGAGTCAAGATGACGGTATCACCTTCAGCCCGTGTTTAGATTTTTTTTGGGGGGGGGGGGGGTGAGTGTTACTGTTTTTAGCATATAGCAGGTACAGTGAGTATGACGGTGACTCCAGCCGCATGCTTGAATCACTTCCAAGGGAAGCCGGGGCTGCAGGGCTCAGCCCCTGGGCTCCCCACCCGGAGTGCACCCCAGCTGCTCCACCATCTCCAGCCCCCGTCACCTTCAATTTAACAGCATAACTCAGACTTCAGGATTTTTTTTTAATACGCCAAAATCCTTATTCTCAATTTCTGTGAAGAGTATCATTCAACTCTGGCTGTTGTCCTGAGCATTGTACTGCTGGGACCCACAGTGGACTTTGGAGAAGGGGTGGTGCTCCGGGGCCGCGAAGGGTTCTCCCCCCATGCCTCAAGCATTTGCCGGGCTCAAAGTGGACAGGAAGGGATGGAAGTCTCGTCCCAGATGCACCCAGCCACTCAGGACCTGCAGGGACAGCCAGATCCGGCACCCAGAAGATACAGCCCGACTCCATTGGGGCAAAAAGGACAGGGAGGAGAGACTTTTCTGGTTCTAAAACTGACGATGCTGTCACAAGAGCTGGCTGTGCCTACGGGCTGTGACCCCAGGGTCTAACGCTAAGGGAGCATGCCTAGCCGTGAACGCCGTCCCGAGGGCCCGTGTGGTGTGTGTGTGTGTGGGGGGGGCCAGACCTGCCTGGCGTGTCTCACCTCCCACGTGATCTCTCCTGCCCTCGATGCACTTTCATCACCCACAAAATGGGCCCCCCGGCTAGCACCCAGGCGGGTCACACAGGACACTGACCGTTGTTCCCGCGGATGAAGGCGTCCCCGTACTTATTCTTAAGCTGGCCGTTCACATACTCCTCCGTCTGCTCCAGGGCGATGTTCATGTAGCCGTCCAGGCAAGCCAGGACCCCTAGGGAGAGAGTTAGTCAGAGAACACAGCAAGGGAGAGCGAGCAAACGGCTGGGGGGCGACCTGCGGAGCCGGCAACCCCTTCACTCACTCATCAGCTGGGACACACACGCTCACCACCGCCAGGCGCCCCGGAGACCGAGCTCACAGGGAGCAGCGCCCGCCCCCGGGCCCCTCCCGGACGAGGTCTGGACAGGCAGCAAGGGGGAACGGCACAAAGGACAGGGCGACGGGCAAGTCCCCCCGAGCGTGACGGCGCCAGGACTCCGACGGCAACGCCGGCTCGCAGATTTATCCCCCTGCTCTGCTCGCTCGCAACACGGGCCGCGACAGCTGAAGGGGCGCGGGGCGGAGAAGGAGCCTCGGCAATCTGTTAGGAAGAATAGCAGAGGAGACAGCAGGTGCTCCCGAAAGCACATCCTAAAGCTGTGACTCACAGCGCCGAGCAGCTTGAGAAAATGGGGCGACATATTGCCTTGTAACACATCCCTCTCTGTTTGGTCACAGCTCGAAGCGTTTCCAATCCCAACTAATACAGAAAAATGGCCAGACACATTCCAGGGGAGCTTTCAAGGAAACGGCCCGAGCACGTCGCCTCCACCCTGTTGAGGAGACGACCCCGACGGCAAATTTCCCTTCAGGATTTCTGGGCCCCCTCCTCCCCAAAGACGAGAAGATACACACTCCCGGGTCTCCTCTGGTGGGACATTCTAGAAAAATCCAAGAAGGAACAAATACTATCCAATTCATTTGATTAACCAAGTCAATCGTGCCTTTTTCAGACCCGGCTTCATTACTATGCTTCTCACTCTCTGCCTCTGCCCCCATTCTCCCCGAAACAAAAAAGGTTCCTTTCAACTATGGCAGCCGGTAATGAGCACGCAAGATGTTAACCTAATAAAATTCCGCGAGAAGCTGCAAACTTCCAAAGACTCAGAACGGATGCTGAGCACTTAATAACAATTACTTCTGATCCAACGGCAGTCCAAGCCGTACCTTTACACAGGAATGGGAAACTTGAGACACAGAATGCAAATCTGCCTGAGAATTAATCAAAAACATTTTAAATTGAAAGCTTCCCCTTCAATGAAAAGATTTATCCTGCAGGCACAAGTTAAAAAAAAAACAACAAGCAAACAGACAAATAAACTAGTCTGAGAAGGCTTAAGTGGCTACTCCATCTCCAAAGGATAAAGTTAGTATAAGTAATGAAAAATGAGTTCTACTCAAACTTAAAGAAGAATTATGGAGCATTGTTAAAAAAAAAAAAGCCAATCCCCCGACCACCCCTAGTAAGGAGGCTCGACGCTCTGGACATCATCTAGTTCCAAGAGTAGAGACCATGAACAGACTTTCAAGAAAGGAGAAAAGTGAGCAGCTGCCCAACCTCAATAGCAAACAAGGAAATAAATACTAGAATGAGCGACCCAGAGCCGAGGAACAGGGAGCAAGAGGCAAGCCCTGGCGGACATGGGCGGTGAGCCCATGGTGAGGCCTTAACAAGGCAGTGTCAGGCAGACTTTAGACTCCAGGGTCCCGGCCCAGGGAACTGAAGGAGAAGGGAGACAAAGGCTGAAGGTCTAGGCCAAAGGAAGTGAGTTGCTTATTCAAACAACGTCTGGAGAAAGCCCAAATGAGCAAACGGGGTAAAGTGAAGCTATGTTATTTTATGTTCAGAAACTACAGCTGCACAAAAAGTGATTTAATGGTATCTTTTTTTATTGGGGGTGAGGGAAACTGGGAGAAGATGGGTACAGCATCAGACCCAGTGGTGTTCAGGGGACCACGCCATGCATGTGCCCAGGGATGAGGGCTGGGCATCCTGGGAACGAGGCGGCCACTCCAGCCGCCTGAACCGCCTCCCAACCCGAGTGATCAGTTTCTGTTGTTGCTGTTCTACGGGGGAACTGTGTATGGTGCTGGGGATGAAACCTGGACTGGCTCATGTGCCTTACCTGCCGCCCAATCTCTTCAGCTACGCCCCTCCCGGGACCCCCTCCGCCAGATTTCTTACAAGGCTTTAGAATCAAGCTTGAGCTTCTCCTGAACTAGTGGGGGGATATTAAGAAGATCACGAAGGATTTACGTGAAGCTAAAAGGAAGACTTAAGTGATTAATACTCACTGGACACATGGCAAGCATTCAATAAAATGAAGTTTCTAGGTGTGGAAAGAAGATAAAGCTCAAGAAATTGCTACCATTATTCAAAAAAGAGACCAAGGCAAGACTATGAAACCCTAATGAATCGGCACCTGGGAAGGACCTGGAAGAATTAAACTCAGCAGCTAATCTTAGGGAGCAGCTTAAGAGATAGCACAGCAGGTTAGGAATCTCCTAACTTTAAAAAAAGAAACAAAAACAAAAACAAAAAACCAAAGGAATTTAAGGGCCAGAGCAACAGTACAGCAGGAAAGGCATTTGTCATACACGTAGCCAACCTAGGTTTGATCACCAGCATTCCATACGGTCCCCCAAGCCTGCCAGGAGAGATCCCTGGGCGTAGAACCAGGATGAGCACTGCCAGGGCGCCTCCAAACAAAATGAAAGAAAGGAATCTGGTGTGTTCCCTCCCAAGTTAATTTTAGTAGTGTCAAGTCTCTTAATATTAGCACTCTCAGGCCACCATACTTGCCTCCATGGGGCCAACTCATTCAGTCCCTGGAACCCCATCAGGTCCCCTGAGCACAGTCAGGAATAAGCCCGGAGCATCGCCAGGCGTGACCCAACAGCCAAAAAACAAAAACAGCGCTTGCCACAAGAAAAGAAGTGCATCTCTGGAGACAGAGAAGGGACCAGAAAACCAGCACCCCCCTGGTCTCCCACTGAGGAGCCGCATGAAACACCCGAGCCCAGGGACTTCTCTGGGGCCATCGGTGAGAACGAGCATGGAAACCCTACCTCGATAATCCACTCCAGAGTTTAGTTTGACTACGACTGGTCGTCCGATGATCTGCTTTAGGAAGTCACTGGGAGTTTGCTTCCGTAGACTCATCTTACCGGTCCTGATCAATCTGTACAGGGGTAACAAAGGTAAAACAGAGTCGATTATTCGCCCGAACGAGCCTCCGGTCCTGCAGGTACTGACAGGAGCCCAGGTATGGGAGGCGCCACTTCATCCCACTCTGCTCCTCCCAGGCCGAGGCATGCAGTACACTCGGGTGGAGACACGCCAGGCTAAGCCCTCGGGCGTCCCGCTCACAGAGGGGTCTGGGTCTTCCGAGGCACGGCTCCCACAAACCCATTCCAACCACCACCAGCGCCAGCAGCACAGAAGGGTCTGCTAAGACCCTTGCAAACAGGGTAGAACTGGATCGTTCCAGGAACCCTACAAGGCTGGAAACCCCCACATTGTGCTGACTAGGAAGAAGATGAAATGAATCATTCCCCTTTTGAACAAATATTCCAATTCAAATCCACCCTAATTTAAAGTCTGCGCTGCAGACGCAGAGCCCCGTCAAGGACAGAGGGTGCCCGGAGAAGGTGGCAGCGGAGAGAAGCACCGCCGTGACGATGCCCTAGCGCGTAACTACTGAATTGTCACTATTGGAACCCGAGAATCACTGCAAGGAACACGACTGACAGGCCTACACACCAGAACCTCCCAAAACACCATGTTACATGCATGGGTCTCTCCAGACGCCACCACCCTAAGAAGCAGGCATTGCTCTGTCGTTTTACTGGTGAAAAAATGGGCACAGAGCAAGGCGAGACACCCAGCAGGATGTGACAACACCTCCCTGTGTGCCCCCTCCCCGCCCGGTTTTGGTTTCTGGATAGCTGCTCAGGCACCCCACGATTCTGTTCTACTTCAACTGGGGAAGACTTCCCAGCAGTGCTATTCAGCCTGATGGTCAGAGCTACAAGGGTCTGGGAGGGTTGGGGGGCCCCAAGGCCTAATCCCAGCAGCACTGGGGCGGTGGAGGGTGGGGGTGGGGTAGGACGTGCCATGCCAGGGACCCAATTCAAGACCTTGAGCACACAAAGCAGGCACCCCACCCCCTTGGGCTAGCTCCCTAGATACTGACTTACTCCTAGCACTGGCACTGTCCTCCCATTGTTCATCGATTTGCTCGAGCGGGCCCAGTAACGCTTCCATTGTGAGACTTGTTGTTTCTGTGTTTGGCATATCAAATACTCCACGGGTAGCTTGCCAGGCTTTGCCATGAGGGCGAGATACTCTCAGTGGCTTGCGGGCTCTCTGAGAGGGGTGGAGGAATTGAACCTGGGCTGACCAGGTTGGCCGCGTGCAAGGCAAACGCCTTACCCCCTGTGCTATCGCTTCAGCCCCTCCACTAAGATTATAGCAGAGAAACACTATATATATATGAAAAAATATTTAATGAAAGGTAAAATAGAAGCCTGAAATGGATGAGCTAAAATTCACATACATGTCATACACACAGGCTCTGTCCTTACACAACCTAGAATCTAAAACTGTTTAGTAAAATGTTTAAATAAAAATGATGATTAAATAAAAATGATTTAAGTGAAATAATTTTAACTGAGAAAAATCGACATCCAAAAGCTTTTTTGAAATGCACAAATTTCAGAAACATCTAGAATGTTTAGGCTGAATCCCCTACTTGCATACTCACAAGCTTAAACATTTTTTGGAATGTGATTAGCTGACTATTTGCTCAGGAGAAAAACTAAGGAGGGAAAGATTTGGGGCAACACTCTGCAGCAAGTAATCAGGCTTTATTGGCAAGCACCTCCTCAAGCCCCAGCTCCTAGACTCCGCTTAGCAAATTTTAATATAACCCGCCCACAGAATTACCAACTTAATTTTCAGCTGGGGCCAGAGTAGTCATAAACAGGTAGACTGCATGCCTTGCACGTGGCCAACCTGGGTTCAAGTGTGGTCCCAAAACTAGGTAAATACATAAAATTATTCTTTAGCTGTGCAGTTTCAACTGCAAGTGTTCCTTCCGACTACTGTTCACTCACGGAGGCTCAGACCACACAATCATTTCTATCCCCCCACTGTTCCGAACAGAGGAACAATGCACGGCAACAGACTCAGGAAAGAAGTCAAAAGAAAACAGATCTTGCAACCACCTGCAGATGTGCTGGAGTAAAGTCTGGAGCAGGAGCTGGTTTGTGGGTGAAGCCCCGTTGACCCCATTCACGGGGGCTTAGGGCCAGTTGCACTCAGGGGCTACATCCCATTGAGCGAGCTTCTTCCTGCACAAAACAAGACAAATCCAGCTACTTCTGTTAAAAAAAAAAAACACACCAAAAAAACCAGGCCTTACCAGTTACACCAAGAGGCACAGGGATAAGAAAAAAAAAATTTAGTTCATAAGAGATCCTGTGACTTCTTTGCCCAAAGTTAATGACGGAAAAATATGTTAAGCCTAAGTTGCTATTACAGCTATGACTCCATCTGCAAACTTGGCATGTCAGTTCTTTCAAAGATACCAGAACTCCTGCTGGCTTCTTCGAGGCGCACCGAGGGGACACCTCTGCCACTAAGCCCAGCTTGGCTCTAACCAACCCGTCTTCCCCGAGGGGGCGGTCGACCCCTCACGGCCCAGGTGGAATCTCAGCGGAAGGCTTTGAAGGCCCTACAAGGCCTGGGGCCGAGAAACACCGAACAGCACGTGTGCTGGGTCAGGGCCCTCAGCAGCCCAGGCTGGGCAGTCAGGTTTCTGCAGGTGACCCAGGCTGAGCGCACGGCCCTCCCCGGAGGATGGAGCCCACTGCCGAAATGGGACACGGCCGAGCCCTGGGCCCACAGCCCGTGGGGCGGGAGGTCGGCTCGGGCAGCAAACCCAGCGGCTCTGTGGCCCGTCTCCCTTGGTTCTGGCCCCAGCCGGCAGCACTGTCACCGCACCTGCCACACCTGTCGCTCTCGCCTCTCCAGCTCTTGGCTTTGGGGAGCAGCCCAGGGCCGCTCGCGTGTACAGGCTATCTGGACTCTAACATACGCAGCTCTCCTCCCTCAAAAGCCAGAGGAAAGGCGGTTCGAAAAACAATTTGTCCTCGTTTATTCTTGGAACACGGACAAGTCTGCTGAATGTGGGGAAAAACAAGCTTTCAAAGTTCTCTGACGAGCGGCTGGCTGCCTCGGGCCGCCCGCCGCCACCTGAGGGGAGCACATCTTCTGCATCTGTCTTCATTAGGCCGCCGTGGGCCACCCCGTTACTTAATGACTCGCCCATAAATCCATTCTGGAGGAGCAAATTGGTCTCGACACCACAATTTTTCCCATCACTTGGCTCATGTAATTTGAAGTTTTCATCGTCTAAATTGGATAAAGCAGAAGGAATCTCTCATACCATTTAGGAAGCAAGAGAACAGTCCGCTGAACCAAAAACGTATGTGCGAGACAAAGGCTTCTTTCCTCTAAGGTCACCTTGATGAAGCCTCTTCCAGAGCAGAGCCATCCTCACCGTCTCACCCGCCACCCCACCGTTAGACCACCATCCCCACCGTCTACACTGCTATCCCCATCATCTAAGCCGCCATTCCCATCGTCTAAACAGCTAGCCTGACTAAGCCAGCATTCCCACTGTCTACACTGCCATCCTCACCGTCTACACAGCCGTCCCCACCATCTATACCGCCATCCCCACCGTCTCCACCTCCGCTCCCCCTGCCTCCTTCCAGGCTTCTTTGAAGTGAGCACTCTTCACCAAGGGCTGCAGGGTCAGAGCTGACTTGCTGTCCGGCTGCTGGAGACAGAGAATGTCTGACAGACGCTTGGAGACTTTCTGGGTAGAAGGCTGTACCCCACTGGACTAGGGGCTGGACACCCTGGAGCAGGTAACACAGTGGCCGGGGGGGAGGGGGAGGGGGGAATGGACTCTCATCCTCGCAGCCCCAGATGATCCAGAGACGCACAGGGAACGGGAGTCAGGGGAGACCCCGAAAGGCCCAGTCTAAGCGTCTCCAGAGACTCTGAGGACACGCACGTCCCTGCCTCTGAGCCCTTCCCTGACTCGGGGTAGGGACACCCACACTGGGTCCCAATGCTCCCTTTACAGATGAAGAACTTCATGCCACCCCGAAATCTGCCTTCCAAAGGGAACAGAAGGCAGCTCCCAGCTCCTCACCGCCGCCCCGGGATCAGTGCAGTGTGCCAGGGGGCTCCATCACCCACTCTGGCTGGGCAATGCCAGCTTGGGGTGACAATTAAAAACCCGGAGCCTCTGTGTCCTCATGGCTCTGTCCCAACAGCCCTGGACTCCGGGCACGTGAGTGGCCCTGCCCCTCCTAGACCCTGCCTGGCACAGGGGCTCCCGGCCTCCTTTCTCTGCCGAGGGCCCCGCCGACCACTGGCCACACGAACGGTTCACCCACTCGGGATACTGGGGCCCGTGGATGCACTCAGGGCAGGGCCCGTGCAGAAGCAGATCCAAGCAGCAGATCTTGATTCCTGATCCAAGCTAAGGAACCGAGGAAAGGCTTGGCAAGAGGCAGAGCCCCAGGCCAGACGCAGGGCACCGGGCGCCAGAACCAGCTTCTAGATAACACTCCACCAAACAGCTTTCTCCACAAGAGGCAAGCCTGCTCCACGGTGGGGGTGGCATGGAAATGTCTGGAGTCACTCTGACCCACAGGACAGGGGGCATGGCAGCTGGAGACCAGGCCAGACTGAGCAAATAAGGGATCTGCTGGCCCAAATGTTAGCTCAGCCTGAGGAACACTTCTGTGAGGCCCCACAAGAACAAGCAAGAAACCCACTGATCTCTGCTCTTAAATTTTCAGAAACCTCCAAAGTATGACACACAGGAACCAATAATTTGAGTTCTAGTTAGACTTCAGCGTATAAATTATGATCAGGTATGTTATAGTTTAGGGCCAGAGTGATAGCAGAGCAGGTAGGTCACTTGCCTTGCACACGGCCAACCCGGGTTCGATTTCGAGTCCAGCACGCTAGTGAAGAGTATTCTGCCCACACGGCAAAGCCTGGCAAGCTCCCTGTGGCATATTCCATATGCCCAAAACAGTAACGAGTCTCACAATGGAGAGGTTACTGGTGCCCACTAGAGCAAATTGATGAACAATGGGAGGACAGTGTGTGCTACATGTTATAGTTTATAATCATCCCATCAGATAGAGTCTGAAAGCAACTGTCACACGCGGGAAGGGACGACTATTCCACATAACGGATCCAGTGCCAGGTCTGCAGGTGCTGGGGCCCAGGGAGGTGGTGCAGAGGGTGGAGTGCAGGTAGGATATGCTGGCGCCCTGGATGGTTTGCGGGGCCCAGCACTGCCAGGTGCGGCCCCCAAACCTAAAAAAAAATAGCAGAGAAAGTATCCAGTTCGGTATTTCTCAGGGTGAAGAATCCCTCGGGTGAATTAAAATCTGTTACTTGATATTCTGAAAGAAATGAATCATTCACGGGGGATCATCTTTGAAACGTCTTTTAAGAAGACTGTCACCTCCACCAGTTTAGTGACATCATCTGACGCAGCAGAAAGTGCATTCTCTCGGGAGGTGGAACCCCCGCCTCCCAGCTCCACACCGTGACCTGGGCACCCTGGAAAACGCCTCATTTCCCCTCCTCATCTGCAAAATCAGGGAGTTGGGCTATCTGCAGAATCAGGGAGTTGGCTAGCTGGTCCCTGTGGGTCGGGCTCTCCCTTTCAGGCTGCTGGCCGTGGGGGACTCCACTAACACACACTCGCACCCTAACAGAATCCTCTGCAGATCCCCCCACTGTAAAAGCAAGCAAGGGCCGAAGAGATCCAACAGGTGGGTAAGGCACCCGCCTTGCAGCTAGCTGACCCAGGGCTAGCTGACCTGGGTTCAATCCCCACTCGCTAAAGGGTACCCAGAGCACCACCAGGAGTCCAGTGCCATTAACCTCGGCACCGCAGGGGGCTGTCAGACCCCACCCGCCCCGCCACCCCTGCCCCCAATCAAAACAACCCACCCAGTTGTCATTGCCATGCACCACCCGCCAAAAAAAAAAAAAGGAGGGGGGGGAAGGACCCCATGCAAAGATTCCGCCTTTCCAGGGGCTGCTGCGGGAAAAGCCTCGTGAGCTACAGAACCGCCTGGAGAAAACAGACTTGGCGCTTCTAAAGCACCAAGAACAACGGGACCGACCAACGCGCGTTCCTAGAAAACATCGGGTCACGTGTCCCCGGGCCCGGCCCAGCCCGTTACCCGGAGGCCGGCATCTGCTGCACACCACGACTGCCCCGCGCCGGAATCCCGGGCAAGCACAGACCCCCTCCCCCGAGACGCAGTTCCAGAAAATAAATGATTCCATTAAACAGCATCCTCTGGGACGGCTCCACCCGAGCCGAGCTCGCACCCGCGCGCCGGCGGCGGGGAGGCGGGGGCCGGGGTGGCAGGCAGGGGGGAGCTGGCCCCGCGGAGAAGAGGCGGGATTAATCCCTCAAGGAGCGGTTTTGGGGGAGGAAACTGCCTTTCGGGCAGAAACTGGCCGAGCGCGACGGGCCCGTGACCACGCGCGGGAACCGTGGGCGGCGGCGGCGGGACCGGCCCACACGAGGCCCGCGCGTTTTTCTGCAGTCCCGGGGGGACGCGGTCGGGCTGCGGGCGGGGGGTGGGATGCGGAGACGCCCCGCGGCCTCCCCGCCCCGCCTCGGCCCTCCGCGCGCGCCCCCCGCCCCCCGGCGCCCCCCGCTCACCTCGCGACCGGCGGCCGGAACCCGCACTCCCCGCGCCGCGCGCCGGCCCCCGCCGAAGGCCAGCCCGCGGCCGGAAGCGAAACTGAAACCGCGCAGGGGGCGGGCCCTCCGCGGGCTCCTCCAATCGCCGCCTGCCCGGCTACGGCAGCCCGCGGGGGCCCGAAAGGCCCGGCTCGCCTGAGCCCAACCGGGCGCGAAGGCGCGGGGAGTTGGAGCAGGGAGCGCTGGGAACTCTGTATGATAGAAAGTATACACACGCGCCCGCGCGCGCGCACACACACGTGCACACACACACACACGCACACACACGCACACACACACGCACGCACACACACGCCCTCCTCTTAGGTTCTGTATTGTAGAAGTAAACGCACACACATACATACATACATACATACACACACACATACCCTCCTCTTAGGTTCTGTATGGTAGAAGTAAACACACACACATACACAAACACATACACACACACACACACCCTCCTCTTAGGTTCTGTATTGCAGAAGTAAACACACACACACACAACGACCTCTTAAATTCTGTATTACAAAAAATAAACACACACACATTCTGTCATTCTGTCTCTCTCTCTGTCTCTCTGTCTCTGTCTCTCTCTGTCTCTCTGTCTGTCTCTCTCTCTCCCCCTGGCCCTTCTTAGACTCTACATTACAGAAAGTAAACACACCACACACATAACAACCTCTTAGGTTCTGTATTACAGAAAGTAAAGACACACACACAACAACCTCTTAGGTTCTGTATTACAAAAAATAAACACACACATCCTCTCTCTCTCTCCCTCTCTTTCCCTTCTCTCTCTTTCTCTCTCTCTTAGACTCTGCATTACAGAAAGTAAATACACCACACACACAACAACCTCTTAGGTTCTGTATTACAGAAAATAAACACACACACACACACACTCTCTCAGACTCTGCATCACAAAAAGTAAACACCACACACACACACACACACACACAAACACACACGCGAGCGCGCACACCCCCATAGGCAGGATTTCTTTTCAGCAGAAATGTAAAGAATAGATTGAAGTCAGAGGACACCAGAATTTACTGTTAAAATAATGACTGTGTACAGCCAGAAATGACCTTGAGTAATTTAATGCACATAAATAAATAAAGCAACTCCAAATCTTTAAACCCACCTTTGAATTTGATTAAACGTTTTGCGAAGACAAAGTCATTATTAGCAAGAGACTGTTTCCATGGGAACGTTAATAGACACAAAAAGAATTTAAAATCACTAAAGTAACCACGGATTAGAATGACATAAATTGCCTTATATTACAAACTAGTTCTAATTGGAATGGTGTGCAGACATTCTGAGCGCTGCTATGGGAACTTAGTTTGGAATTTTGCATGAATTCTCAATATTCTTGCTATTAATGGGAAGGGAGAGGAAGAAGAGAACCTCTTCCTAGGGGCCCAGCACACATCCCTTAATCCTATTGTATGAGTTGAAACTGTAAGGCAAGTGATCTTTAAACAGATGCTTCCCCATGTCTAATGTTTAGACACTAAGACGCAGATTGAGTTTCTGTTGGTGCTTTTAGTTTTGTGGAGGTGCTCAAGGTTTTCTCCTAGCTCCTATGCTCAGAGATCGTCATTCCTGGTGGGGCCAAAAAGTGGTACTGGGGAGGGAACCCAGGTCACCTCTGGGCAAGGTAAGAGCCTCAATAGCTATACTGCCTCATGGGCCCCAGAATGATTTTCTAAGAAAATAAAAAGTGTTTGTATTCTTACCAGAAGTAAATCTTTGTTCTGGTGGAAAATTGTGAGATTTGGTAGCAAAGAGAAACTTCCTTCCATAAAAGTTTATTTTGCATAAACAGATCATTACAGACTTATTGGAAAGACTCTATTTGAAGTCATGATGAAATAAAATGCAATGTGAGTAAAAACAATTTTTAAGTAAAGCATCATTCAAATGAAAAAACTGCGAAGATCAAACACAATAGAAAGTCCTGCCCCTAAAGACCTCCATAGGAATTATCAAATTATAAACTGCATTTCTTGCTGCTCGTGAGGAATTTCTTACTGTGTTCCCACAATTCAAAAAAGACCTTCGAGGAGGTGAGAGGGGCAAAGGGATAATATAAAGAGTAGGGTGCTTGCTTGCCTTGCCCAAGGCTGACCAGGGTTTGATCTCTTGCACCTGCAGAGTCCCCAAGCCCACAAAGGGTCCTCATCCCTACCAGCAGTGATTCCTGAGCACAGAGCCAGTAGTCAGCCCTGAACACCATTAGGTGTAGTCTCCCAAAGAGCCAATGAAAAAAATTCTATAAGCAACAACAGCAAAAGATCGTTTGAGTTCATGCTTCTTTCCTTTTCCACCGATCCTGATGAAACCACTGGGACTGGTGTGGTGTGCAGAGGGTGTGGAGGGATTTGAAAATTGGGGTTCATGGGCAGAACAGCTGCAGCATTTTTTTCCTGGAAGGAAGATTTGTGAGGGCTAACTAGACAAACGGGGTAGGCACCATGAAGTCTTCATGAGCCAACACGCTTATCAAAACGTGATTGTGCCCAGAACTGCCGAAGCAGCTTAAAATGGACTTTTTCCAACTCACAAAGCAACTGGCCCTATTTCACAGGGTTTTTTAAAGCCTCTTTTGTTATAGAAAGAAAACACATGCAAGTCTTTTCCTAAAGAGTAGTAGTTTATCCAGCACCAATCTACAAAATCCCGAACATAAACTTCAATTAAGGAAACTAAATGTTAGTGAAAAAGAATTTGAAAAGCCTTAGCTTAGTTTGCATGGTTGTTAAAATTGATGAGCCTGCCATGAAATATCATTGTCAACTCCTGCCCATTGCTTATATTAGGGTTGGTTCCTGCTGATGGCGTACACTCTCTGACATGGATTTGCTATTATAATATACAGAATATTTTCATGCACAGATGCCCCCCTCATCACCCCTGTTCTATACCCCTGCAACCTCTCCCCCACTAACTCCAGGCAACCACTGACCTTTTTTCACTATCTCCACAGTGTTTGCCTTTTCCAGAATGTCATATAGTTGGACTCACAGTATGTAGGGTTGGGATCTTTTACTTAAGATGTCTTCAGGGCTTTTCATAGTTTCCTAATGCGTTTATTTTTAGCACTGAATTATACTCTTCTCTGGTTGTACCACAGTTTTCATCCATCTGACTCCTGAAAGACATCTTGGTTGCTTCCAAGTTTGGGCAGTTTATGAACAAAGCTGCAATAAACATCTGTGTGTAGGTTTTTGTGTGGACGTTGCTTTCAACTCGCTTGGCTAAATATCAAGGCATGCAATTACTAAATTATATGATGAGAAAATGTTTTTGTATTAAAAGGATTTTTTTTGGTAAAGAATGACAACTACCAGCAGGAACCAGCAGCAGAAACAAGGATCTGATCCCCGCAACTTTTCCCTGGACAAAACTCTAGCAGCTGCCTCTCACCAGCACAGACGGCCCAAGCCTGGCCAGCTTGGAGAAGACCTAGAAAAGCAGTTTCGCAGCAGGACTGTCATGTGCAATCTATGCTAGGGTCACCCACACTCCAACTCTGGTGCATCATTTCTGTCTTATGCTTTTAGAAATCCTGAATGGTCTTGCTTCAGCAAGACATTAACACCAGCTAATGAGAATCCTAATCTGTCCCATCCTACTTTGGCATATTTATACCAAGATCATCTATTTTTGCTCATAGGATGTAAAAATGAAGTTTTTTGGGTAGCAATCTTCTGGGTCACTTCCAGTAGTGTTCAGGGACTATTCCTGGTTCTGCTCAGGAGTGACCCTGGCAGTGCTCAGGGGATCATATGTGGGGACCGAAGAGCCAAATGAGTCCAGTTACACATCAGGCAAGTGTCTTGTCTCTTGTACTATCTCTCTGGTCCCAGTTTATTAAAGTTATTGAATCTCTTTCCAGGAGGAGTGAAAGCTTAAGGACAGCATGACTTTTATTTTGAACACAGACAAGACCCTGCCCTCTGATTGGTGTAACTTGCATTTTAAAGGAGATGGGCTCAGTGTCTGAACACTTGTAAGGAGCCGCCTTCCAGTCCTGCTTTATGCTCCACTGTGAACTCTAGAAAACCTTTCCCAGCTGTGAAACTCAGGAAAATCAGCGTGACGCTATGCTGGTGTTTTAATCAAGATGAACTTGAAAGGTGAACGTTAGAAGCGGGAGACATTATTTATAATTTGGCCATAAAAGTTTATGTCGAACACTCCAAATTTCCTACATCTGCTCTCTGCTGGCCCTGAGATATAAAACAATGGAAGTTGTCTTTACATTTGGCCTTATACAAAAGGTTATAAATTAGAATGATGGCGCTCGTCCTCTTTCTCAGCTCGTGAAATTTCCATATTAACATCTTCACCTCAAACATAAATGGTTTACCCAACTACAAAGAAAAGGATTGTGTCAGCTTTTATGAATTATAGTTTCTGTTGGAAATCAGCAGTGTGTATGCCTGCTACACCTCTTGCCGGTTAGTGCAACTACTTTAATGAAGCTAATTCTACCCCAGTGAAGCTAATAATTACAACCACGTGAGCGGTTGAAGTCAGTTAAATACTGCATATTACACTTGAGGAGTAGAACTGAGATATCATCAAGTGATATCGAAATTAGATGGTGCTTTAATTCTTAAAGATAAATTTCTAGGGCTGGTGAGATAGTACAGATGTTAGGACCCTGGTCTGTCCCTTATATGGTCTCTGAACACAACCAGAAGTGATCCCTGAGCACAGAGACAGAAGGCAGCCCTAGCAACATGTGGGTGTGGCCCAAAATCCTCCCCACATGCATCTCTATAATCTTTCTCATATGTGATACACAGTAAGGTAAGAACAAAGGCATCACAATGGAACAACTGATCCACACAACTGTGTGTGTGTGGGCGGGGGGGGGGGGCGTGGAGAATGTGAAAGTGGGTCTTTGGGAGAGAGAGAGTAAAAGGGAATGTGACTGACACAGAGGCAAGGGGGTGATGGGGAGGGTGGTAGGAGGGATACTGGGAACATTGGTGGTGGATACTGGTATGGTTACTCGATCATTGTATGACTGAAACGT